CTATAAACACAATGCAAACTATATGTTTTCTTGTGGACTTGAGAATTGTAAAGCCACTTTTAAAACATTCACTGCCTTTCATTCCCATATGCACAGAAATCATAGACGAGGGGAGAACACTGAGGAGGAGATCTGGAAGTTCACTGGAAATCTTAGCTGACAAGTTCCTGGATGTGGGTATGTTGGACAAAATATTAAAACTCTTTGTGCCCATCTGAGGATCCATATTAAAGATGGAAAAAAAGTAATATGCCCATTTAAAGGTTGCTCTAAATATTTCAGTGTTCGAACATCATTCTCTAGTCATATTTCTCGGAAACACATGCAGTCAAAGACTGTTCAACAGACAAGTCAACAAGAAATTGGTGACATTAACATGGTACAAGGACAGACAGGACACCTTAGAAGACAGACATTTACAGAATGCTACAAATAATGAAGAGCCATTTCTAAATCAATTGGCAATGTTTTATTTAAAAATGCAAGCTAAAATGCTTTTGCCAGCCAGCACTATACAGTGCATCATAGAGGAATTCCAAGATCTTCACAGCTCTGGAGTGCACAATGTTCTTGGAAAACTGTTTGATAAACTTTCTGCATTTGATATACCTGAAGCATCTATAAACAATATTATTCAGGAACTTTCACAAAATGACTTCCTATCACATTATCCAGAGCTTATACTTCACTTTGGGCCACTTATTCATTTATGGACTCTTAGGTTTGAGAGCAAGCACTCTTATTTCAAACAATGTTCAAGAAAAGTGCATAACTTTGTCAATTTATGCAAGACTCTGGCTGAACGGCATCAGCTACTGCAGTCCTACCTCTTGGCAGGGCAAATATTTCCACCTACAATTCAAATAATTGGAGAAGCAAATGATTATAGACATCATCTTTACAACTCTGCAACTCAGGATGCTGTGACAAAAGCAGATGCATCTAATCACAACATGCTAGATGTGTCAGCAGTTGTCTACAAAGGTACCAAATATGTCAAAGGTCATGTTGTTGTAGTAGATCACACTGATGAGAGCACTGAGTTTGGGAAGATAGTTGTGATACTTGTTAATGATTCTAAATTGTACTTTGTGCTAGAATTGCATCAGTCAGTATGCCTTATTGACCTTGGACTTTATTGCCTACACTGCCCTACAGACAGAAGTTTGTGTGTAAATGCTGACAGTCTGATGGATTATTACCCAATACCCCTTTATAACATGGCAGATCTTTTTGTTGTCTCCCTGCACCATTCAGTTTCTTCATGATTTTTTCCCCTTATATTTCAGTGATGGAAATTGAAGATGAAATCACATGCATCCTGCCAGAATTGGAGAGACAGAAAGTACTGTCCTTTGCAGACCACCTGAAAGATGTCATTGGTGTCCAACAAAAAAGTGACCTTCTGTTAGTAGAGGCAGATGATCTCAAACATTTTCTTACACCAATTCAAATACGTAAACTACTACTTGCATTTAAGAAAGGTTTGTATACATTTTGTATACATCTGACTATTTATCAGCTGTAGGTCACACGGGTCACTGATTCATTTCTTTTTTACATTATGACCATCAGTTGCCAATTTCTTCTCACTATACCATTCTGGATGTTAAACTACAAAGCATTTTATTGAAGAGACTTTTACCGGATATTGGTATGTTTTTCTGTTTTAATGGAAGAAATCAAATAAAAAAAGATAATCCAGTGCATTTTGTTTACATCTTGATCTTAAATATATCCAACTATTACACAAACAAGTGTGCAGGTGTGTGTGTGTGCACGCACAAGTATAAACCTTTTATTTTGGGAGCCTTTATTTTATTACAGTATGTTACCATTTACTCGTATCTTAGTAAAATATGACATGAAAAAGGTAAATTACTGCCCACAAAAACACAGTAACCTCTGACAGCGTTGACTATTTTCAGTAGCAAAAGTGTATGTTTACGGTAAATCACTGGAAAAGGTATTGCAGCATACCTTGAAATGAGTTTACGGTAACATACCATAAACATACAGCACAACACATATTTATTAATCACGGTAAAATGTTGCGTTATTGATGTAATTTTCTTGCGAAATATATTACGGTATTTTACTGGCAACACTGTTGCCAGTATCTCACCGGCATGCAGTCAGAGGGTTTTTTACAAAAATATAATAGACGGTATAATTCTGGGATCAACACTAAGTGGTAAGTTACCGTTAACCATGCATCACGGTATCATGCTGGCAACAGTGTTGCCAGTTTATTACCGTAAAGTGGATAGGTAAAGTCTAACAGTGTACCTAACATGCATGTGGAGAAAACCCCACTCAGAAACGATGACATTCAATCCTGAGGCCTCTTTGCTATGAGGCAACAATACTAGTTGTTCTCAAATCCCCTGACCTAAAACCAAAGTCACACAAAAGCACCACAAAGGGCCAGTGATACAACACGAAAATCAAAAGTCTGCAGATGGATCACGTGACTCTGTTTAATTCGCTCCCCTGGCAGACGGCTCCCTAGTGCATTAGAGAGATTATATGCAAGAGCCCATGCTTAATATAACATAATTAACAGAGACACAGGTAAAGGTCAAAACACTTGTGAAATTAGTCATTCTTCCATGGGAAATGTCATGTTTAATACCATCTGAGAGGAACCGTGGTAGGAACCCATTCACCATTGTTCTGCTGTCTAAATAGATGGATAGATAGATATTTTTATTCGGTCAACAACAGTAATTTATCAATTTTACATAAAAGTAATCAAGCAACCGAAAAAAGGAAAAGGTTGAAGCCTAGTGGCTTATAATTAGCCTATCCTTAACTCCCACAGAGATAATCAAATCCTCAACCAAGGCTGATAGATAAGATGCATAACATTTAAAGAAAAATCAATGATAAATCAAGAAATCAAATCAACACAAGGTTAGACATCAAACTAAGTTTCTATAACTTTGGAAGATGCAAATTTTTAAATATTTCTTGAAAAAAAGACAAAGAATAACATCTTCAGTTCATCATTAAGTCCATTCCATAACTTCACTCCCAAAATCGACACACGTCTATACTTAGCATTAGTTCTCACTTTAGGTATTTCAAACATATAAGACCCCCTCAAATCATATTTTCCATCTCTTAATTTAAACATACTTAAAATACAAATTGGAACATTCTTTTTCGCCACTCTATACATCATTTCTAAAGTTTTAAGATATATAATGTCCTTAAATTTTAACATAGCTGATCCTACAAAAAATTGGTTTGTGGACTCCCTATATTTAGCTTTATTTATTATTCTAATAACTCTTTTTTGCAATTTAAAAATTGAATCCAGATATGTTTTGTATGTTTTCCCCCAAATTTCCACACAATAACTCATATAAGGCAAGCAAAGGGAAGTGTACAGTAAATAAAGGCAGCTCTTGTGCAATAAATCTCTTGTTTTGTAAAGAATAAAAATAGACTTAGATAATTTCCATTTCACATGATCTATGTGAGACTTCCAACAAAGTTTATCATCAATTATTACTCCTAAAAATTTAGTCTCATATTCTCTTTCAATTTCAACATTATTTAGATTCAATTTTACTTCAATATTACTCTTAATACCTCCAAACAACATAAATTTTGTTTTACTTTCATTCAGTGATAGTTTATTAAATACAAACCATCTATTAAACTTCATCAATTCTGTTTTCACTGTTTTCAGTAATTCCTTTATGTTATCTCCAGAACAAAATAAGTTTGTATCATCAGCAAACATCACACATTTTAAAATATCACTAGCTGTACAAACATTATTTATATAAAGTAAAAATAGCTTTGGTCCCAACACCGATCCTTGCGGAACTCCACAAGTTACTTTTCTAAGTTTAGATTTCATATTATTAATACTCACATATTGGAACCTTCTTTCCAAGCAACTATTTAACCAAAGTTGAACAACACCTCTTAAACCAAAATCTTTCACATTTCTGTAACTGTAAAGAATGATCTATCGTATTGAAGGCTTTGCGTAAATCAATGAACACACCTATTCCAATCTGTTCTTTATCCAAAATTGTTGCAATATTTTCAATAAATTCCACCACTGCTAGAGATATTGAGCGATTTCTTCTGAACACATACTGATGGTCATTCAATAAATATTTCTCAAGAAAAGAATTTAGTCTGTTTTCAAATAGTTTTTCAAGAATCTTTGAAAATGTAGGCAGCAAAGATACTGGTCTATAATTTGACACAACCTGTTTATCTCCATTTTTATATAATGGGATCACGTTGGCAATTTTCATTTTCTCTAGAAAAATTCCAGTTTGAAATGATTTGTTACAAATATGTTAATGGTTGAAGGATACTATGAAGAACTTCTTTAACTAATTACATATGAAGGCCGTCACAATCTATAAGGATACAAGGAGCTTTGACGTAAATACCATTCATCTTAAGGAGCAACAAGCTCACTCAAAGTGTGATCAATATAACATGAACCCAATACCAGGATTTTAGGGTGATTACTCCAACGTCACCCTAGGCATGATATCAGGGTGACGTTGAGGTGATAATTCCTGATATACCACTCTTCCCTCTGCTGAGCCGACACTGAAACCGGCTGAGCCGGTCGTTTTGATGGAACATTTGCGGGATGCACGCTGCTGTTTGAGCCACATTACTAACTAACTAACTAACTAACTAACTAACTAACTAACTAACCCTTGGGTTGAGGCTGGTATTGGCTGAGCAGGACATTTTGATGGAACATTTGTGAGGGTGCATGCCCCTAATAAAGAACTAATTTCCTCCTTTGCATTCGCTAAACCTCCAAATGATCAGTTTATTGATGTGAGATAACATTTTAAAAAAACCTTACAAGACACTTTTATTATAAAAATGTATACAAATGTTTGGTTACAAACAAGAACTCTTAATACTTGTGATGTTTTTCTAGTGATTTTGGTGAAGTGGGAATTACAACACATAAAAAGTGACATTAAAACTAGTTTTAAACTTACTTCAGGTCCATCAGTATCTCCTTAGGGCCTGTCCTGTGGCACAGAAAGCTGCTGTTCAGCTGTACTTCATAATGGATGTCGTGGAAGCTCACAGTGGACCCACAAGGCTGTTTGGCCCAGTCCAAAGCTGGCCCAACCTTTGACTTCCCATTAGAGTCAAAGTCCTCCATCATTGCAATGTTGATGTGACCGGATTGCTCCATCTATTTTTCCCTCCCAAACTGCAGGTAGACGAAAAAGCTTTATTTATAAAGGCGGTGAATTGTACAGTTCATTCACCAGTTTAAGAATCTCCTTCAGGGTAAAGGTAGTGTCAGTTTTAGTGGGAGGACATAATTGAATCAGTTAATAAAACTATAAAAACAATAATCTCAGATAAAAAAACCCACAAATCTTCAGTCAAATCCAACTTATAAATGTATAACTAGATGTAATTATTACCTGTAGAAGGTGGAGGGGCAACTGGGAGATATGGAACTTTTAAAATCTTTATTTTCACCTCTTACATCCAAACTTTAAATGTTACTATTTTACATGTCAGACAATTGTTTGCATAAAACGCAAATAAACAGTTCACCACAATTGAATGTATCTAAGACTAATTGTTAAATCTGTGAATATGGGGATATAAACACAGACATTTTTCCCTTATTTGTCAGATTTATTTGATTTGATGCTTTATAGATGTTACATTTCTAGTTATTAAGAATATTTAATGCTACAGTTGAAAGATGACAAGATTTTTAGGACAATAACATTTTATTTTTAACAATAAGATAAAAAAATTAAAAAACTTCATGAAGTTTTGCTTTTGCAAGTTGATTGAATAATTTGAAACGGACTGAAGGAAGTTATTCACTAGGTTATTAGAGACAGAAGTGAAGAAGAATTTCAAAGAATCATGAAGCGTTGTTATTAAGTAGCCTAATAACTCTAGGTTTGTGTTTTGAGTAGCTAAAAGTAACTCAGTGAAAATACATTTCAAGACCCTATATTGGTTTGAACTGAAGTCATAATTCAGATTCAATAAATATGTAAATGTAATAATTTGTACAGACAGCAGACAGTGCTGTAGTGCTTGGTGTGGCGTGCTAATGTTAAAACAGTTCCTTTGGCTCTATTTTCTAATCGCTATGCTAATAATAATCTCACCTTGGGCCTAATGTCACTGAGGGCACAGGAAATGCACCTAATTATTTATCTGTAAGTAGCTGTATATATTTTATCATTTCAGGTGTATATTTCACACACGATAAACCGAAACACAAGACTGTTGTGTTATTCCCGTGCTCACACGACTGCTGTTAGTACTGCTGAACTCTTGTTGATGCAAAAGTGAAATCAAATACAGCAGTTCTGAAGTTTCATAAACATTGCCACCACCATAAATGTGAGTGAAATATAGGAAAATCATAGTGACTCACCGACTGTTAAAGTGATGAAGGAAAGCAGCTGTTGGAAAGCATCAGGAGGGAAAGTCTGTACAGGCTGATTCCCATCAGGTCATGAGGAACAGATGCCTGATGTGGAGGACCAACCCCCCCCCCCCCCCCCCCCCAGTTTCACACAGTGCCGTAACCCGTTACTCTCCACCTTCCTAAAACAGCTTATTACTCATTTCCCAAGGATTTAATCCAACTAAATAATCCATAAAGTGTTTTTTATCCTGTTGCTAAAGACACTTGTAACTAGTGAATATAGAGTATAGAGCTGGTTAGTTTTACATGTATAGAGCTGGTTGGTTGGTTGGTTGGTTAGTTTTACATGTATAGGGCTGGTTAGTTTTATGTGTATAGAGCTGGTTAGTTTTACGTGTATAGAGCTGGTTAGTTTCACGTGTATACAGCTGGTTAGTTTTACGTGTATAGAGCTGGTTGGTTTGTTGGTTGGTTAGTTTTACATGTATAGAGCTGGTTAGTTTTACGTGTATAGAGCTGGTTAGTTTTATGTGTATAGAGTTGGTTAGTTTTACGTGTATAGAGCTGGTAAGTTGGTTGGTTAGTTTTACGTGTATAGAGCTGGTTGGTTGGTTGGTTAGTTTTACGTGTATAGAGCTGGTTGGTTGGTTGGTTAGTTTTACGTGTATAGAGCTGGTTGGTTGGTTGGTTAGTTTTACGTGTATAGAGCTGGTTGGTTGGTTGGTTAGTTTTACGTGTATAGAGCTGGTTGGTTGGTTGGATGGTTGGTTAGTTTTACGTGTATAGAGCTGGTTGGTTTTCCGTGTATAGAGCAGGTTGGTTTTACGTGTATAGAGCTCCTGGTTCCCTGTCGTCGGCCCCCGAGTCTTCCCCGGTCCCGCCTCCTGATTCCCCGTCGCTGGCCCCCAAGACTTCCCCGGTCCCACCTTCTGGTTCCCCGTCGCCGGCCCCCGAGACTTCCCTGGTCCCGCCTCCTGGTCCCCCGTCACCGGCCCCAGAGACTTCCCTGGTCCCACCTCCTGGTTCCCCGTCGCCGGCCCCCAGGACCTCCCTGGTCCAGCCCCCTGGTTCCCCGTCGCCGGCCCCCAGGACTTCCATGGGCCCGCCTCATGGTTCCCCGTCGCCGTCCACCACGACTTCCCCGGTCCCGCCTCCTGGTTCCCCGTCGCCGTCCCCCAAGGCTTTCCCGGTCCCGCCTCCTGGTTCCCCGTTGCTGGCCCCCGAGACTTCCCTGGTCTCGCCTCCTGGTTCCTCGTCGCCGGCCCCCCAGGGTCCCCTGGTCCCCCCTCGCCCACCCTTGTGGGTTTTTTGTTTGTTTTGGTCCCTCCTCTCCCGCCCTGTAGTCTCTTGTGTCCTGTTTTGTCTTTGTCTTTTGTGTGTGTTTTGTCTTGTTTTGGTTTGTTCCCTTTGTTCCCCATTTCCTTCAGTTCCCACTCCAGGTTCTCCTTTTGTGTTCCTATAGCACCCTCATGTGTCCTTTGTCTGCATCTCTGTTGTATCTTCAAATCAAATCAAATCAAATCTTGTCTTAAGTTGTAGCTCCAGCCTCTTGTTCCCCAGTTCATTGCATGTGTGTATGAGTTTGTGTGTGTCCTTCCCTTAGACTTTAGGTTTAGTTTTGTGTTTTATATAGTTTAGTTTTTTCTGCCCTCCACTGGTTCTCTTCCCCATCCAGATAATTGTTGTCACCTGCCTTCCCTCCAGCCTCACTCCACACACCTGCTTCCTGTTTCCCTAATTGCTCCTCCCTGTCTAAATAAGCCCTCCTTGTCTCATTGTTCTTGTCGGTCCATTGTTGTTGTTTATCAGTGTGAGATATTCTGTCTGTCAAATCTCCCAGTCACAAGTGGTCCTGTCTCAAGTGTTCCAGTCCCCCAAGTCTCAAGTGTTCCCGTCCCCCAAGTCTCAAGTGTTCCAGTCCCCCAAGTCTCAAGTGTTCCAGTCCCCCAAGTCTCAAGTGTTCCAGTTCCCCAAGTCTCAAGTGTTCCAGTCACAAGTGTTCCAGTCTCGCAAGTCTCAAGTCTCCCCACAAGTGTTCCAGTCTCCCAGTCGCAAGTGTTCCAGTCACAGTCCCCGTCTCCAGAGACCCTTCCTCGTCCTCCTCCTCCAAAACCCCCTATCCCCAGGGTTTCCTGGTCCCGCCTCCTGGTTCCCAGTTGACGGCCTCCTAGACTTCCTTGGTCCGGTCTCCTGCTTCCCCGTCGCCGGCCCCTGAGTCTTCCCCGGTCCCGCCTCCTGGTTCCCCGTCGTCGGCCCCCAAGACTTCCCCGGTCCCGTCTCCTGGTCCCCCGTCGCCGGCCCCCGAGACTTCCCCGGTCCCACCTCCTGGTTCCCCGTCGCCGGCCCCCGAGACTTCCCTGGTCCCGCCTTCTGGTCCCCAGTCACCGGCCCCCGAGACTTCCCTGGTCCCGCCTCCTGGTTCCCCGTCGCCGGCCCCCAGGACCTCCCTGGTCCCGCCTCCTGGTTCCCCGTCGCCGGCCCCCAGGACTTCCATGGTCCCGCCTCATGGTTCCCCGTCGCCGTCCACCACGACTTCCCCGGTCCCGCCTCCTGGTTCCCCGTCGCCGTCCCCCAAGGCTTTCCCGGTCCTGCCTCAGTTTTTTGAGCCACATTACTAACTAACTAACTAACTAACTAACTAACTAAGTAACTAAGTAACTAACTAACTAACTAACTAACTAACTAACTAACTAACTAACTAACTAACTAACTAACTAACTAAATAACTATCTAGCCATGCTAACTATCCCACGGTGGCTGGGGAAAAATTGATTGGTGGAGATCTCCCAACTCCTGTGAGGTTCCCCATGGCAACTGCCGCTTTGCAGGGACCTGTTGTCCCAGGCTCATGGGGAGACACACCACCCACATCCAGAAAGGCTGGCCCTGTGGGCGTGGCCCCTGAGAGGCAGACTCTGTGTGAATGAGCTTTCAGCTGGTGTTAGAAAGAGCGGGTCATTTATCTTTTATCATCATTAACCTCTCAGGTTAACGAGTATTGCCTCTCCACTCTGGACAACATCTGTCCTTTCAGAACCAGATCAGTTCCTGCAGTAAACTCCCAGGCTCAATTACAGCATTTGCAGCCTGTGTATGAAAACACGTCTCCCCGTCCACCTTCTGACATCCGTTAACTCTGTAGTCAGAGATGCGAGGGTTGTCTATTACTCCAACCTGGTGTCGCAGAGACAAAGTCAGTAAGGTAAGATCTAGCATCTCTCTTTCAGCCTTATCTCTCCCAACCCCAACCCGACCCATGACCCTAGAAAGTTTAGCTCGTGTTTATTTGCCTGAGCTAGCATGCCCCTTCGACACTTTCCCCTCATCTGTGTTTAAAAATGACACCCCCACTGTGGGATTAACCCTCTTATTCCCGTAACCAACTCATTGGATCTCTAACTTTTTTCTTTACATCAGCCTCTTTTGGTTGAGAGATCGGTACCTCCCTGGGAAATAAATTCATTATTCTTCTCGTCTCTGGATTAAAAGATCTTAACACAAAAGCTTCTTCCCTTTCTTGTTTCAAATAATCCTCACTTTACTGCAGCCTTCTGATGTGCCTGAGTTCAGCCATTTTTTCATCTACCTTTAATAATTTCTCGTCTGTTTTCTTTAGTTCCCCTGTCATGTTTTCACAAAAACGCATCTTTTCTTGAATTAAAATATTATATCTAGCATTATCTTTTCCCAATGCAGCCTGTTTTCCATCATTACTTTGTGTTGAGGCGTCCTTCAAAGCTAGCTGACTCATTTTATGTAACTGGCTGATCTTCGTTTCTCTATCAGTCTCAGGTCTGTTCGGAGGTCGCTCAATCTTTTTTGTGTCAAAATCGCGTTTTTCTTTTAATTTTCTGTAAACGCTCAGGTTGTCATTTTCCTTTCTGAGCGCTGCTATTCGACTGTCATTCTCTAAAACGAGTTTATTTAGAGCAGAAATCTTTTGATGGAGGATTTTCATTTCTGCATCATGTTTCAAGCCTCTCTGTTGCATATTTTCTGCATGTTTGGCTTCTCGTATTTTATACTCAAAAGCAGATTTTTCTCTAAATGCTGAAATTTCATCTTTCACTTTCTGAATTTCTCTCTCAGTTTGGCTTATTTTGTTTTTCAACTCCCAGTTGTATTCTTCTATATCGTATTGCATTTTAAAATCGCGTCGAGTGCTCTGACCAACAATGACTTGTAGTAAGAAATGATGTTCTCTGTATGAAGTATCAAAGCTTATGATCACGTGCTTCTATGAAGCGTTCTGATCTGCCTTGCTGACGCTTGCTCAGAGGTTACTAGAGGTCGCAACGTTCTAATTTGCATATTCATGACGCAATTGCGTTGGTTACGTGAACATTTGCGCCTGGTCACGTGAGTCGAGTATGAGGAAAATGAAAGTGTGATTATCGCACAAATCTTTCGGCAAACGTGTTCTGCTGGAAATACGCGGATTAATTGCTCGGGTTGCAGGCACGGATCCCCGTTTCTGTCAACTTTGATCTCAGCAGCTGGAGCGGGGATAAAGACGCGCTTCTTCAGATAAAAGTGGTAATTACTTCTAACTTTAATATTGTTAACAATAATTGCAGCAAAGCATCATTCACTGCAGTTAGTCACTAGTGAAGCATAACTTAACTTTCATGAGCAAAAAACCCACAAAAAGGATTCAATAAATCAGCAAAGCGGGAAGAAATGTTATTTTTGTTTTTACATTCTTACTTCATTTCAAACTATAGTGTTTTCTATGGGGTGCCATTTGTAAAGTCAGTCATAATCTAACAGCAATATTTTTGGTTATTTAGCATATCATAAGAGAAAAAATTGAGAGTTCACTTTTTCAAAGTCATATTTTCACCATGTTATTCATACATTTATAAATGTTAAAGTTTCCAAATAAATATTTAGTTAGCACGCTAAATATTTAATTTATAGTTAAATATTTATGTTGCAAACTAAATATTTAGGTCTGATCTAAATACTTAGTTTGTAAAATAAATATTTAATTCACTAACTAAATATTTAATTTACTAATTAAATATTTATTTTGGAAATAAATATTTAAAATTTAAATTAAATATTTAATTTGTAAATTAAATATTTTCCAAAGAAATATTTAGATCCCAGCTAAATATTTATTTTCCATGATGTTATTTAGCTCCACACTATATTTTATATTTTTGGGTCAGACTTAAATATTTATTTCCCAAATACTGATTTTGCAAACTAAATGTTTAGCTCCAAAATAAATATTTAGCTGGGATCTAAATATTTATTTCGGAAAATAAATATTTAATTTACAAATTAAATATTTAGTTCCAAAATAAATATTTAATTGGTAAATTAAATATTTAGTTAGTGAATTAATGATATGCTAAATAACCAAAAATATTGCTGTTAGATTATGACTGTTTGACTTTACAAATGGCACCCCATATTTGTGATGTCCTTGTGTCAAACGAAAACAGCAGGCCAGTGGAAAGCACTAGTGACTTTGCCATTGAGGATGTTAATGATGATCATTTGGATGACTTGGCTTTTCCTGAGGTAGACAGTGTTTGTGATACCAGGCAGTTAAGAGAGCAGTTACACAAGAACTTGTCTTCATTGTTCCTGAAGATGGAAAGTATTCTTCATGTTTCTCAAATGGCATCTCAGGAAATAGTTGATACTCTGGCACAAATCATTTCATTGTCAAAGCCTCTCATTAAAAAGACTCTGCATGATGTATTACAAAGGCATCAGGTTACTCCTTCCAAGGCTATCCTTAATGATTTGCTGAATGCTGTAAATAATGCAAATATTTTTGCTTGTGCCACAGCTAAAGGGGAGGACTTTTGTTCAAATAAACATAGAAAAACGTTTATTGAAAAGAACTACCCTGTGGTAATGCCTGTTCAGTATGTATTGGAGCCTGGTTGTACAGCAATTCATGTCCCTATATTTGAGATGATCCAAAAATGTTCCAACATACAGACATTCTTAACAGAATTATGGAAACACATATCTCTTATGAGGGTCTTTACACAAGCCACAGAGATGGGTCATATTTCCAAGGAAATGAGTTGTTTTCTTCATCAGAGCTTTCACTGCCACTGATACTGTACATTGATGACCTTGAAATTGCCAATCCATTGGGCACTTCAAGGAAAATACCCAAACTGTGTGCAGTATGCTGGATGTTTGCTGATTTGCCAAGTAAATATCGTTCAGGTCTGCATGTCATTCAGCTAGCAGCATTATGTAAGGTACCTGATCTCCACAGGTGTGGCTATGAAAAAGCATTTGGTCCTTTGCTACAAGATCTAAAAACTCTTGAGCAAGATGGTGTATTTATTGAGTGCCTCGGTAAATCTGTTAAAGGGACTATCATGTGCGTTGTAGCTGACAACCTGGCAGCCCACTCATTGGCTGGGTTTAGTCAGTGTTTCAGAACTGGATTTATTTGTAGGTTTTGCAATGCAACACGAGACCTAATTCAGTCTCATGATGTTGGAGATGGCAAGTTTAGCCTCAGAACAAAAGCCAGTTATGACCAAAATGTGCAGGAAGTTCTACATGGGGATGGTCATAGTCAGGCAGGTGTGCAACGGAACTGCATCCTGACGGAAAGTTTGCAGTATTTTCATACAACCACAGGCTTCCCTCCTGATGTCCTCCATGACCTTTTTGAGGGAATTGTACCAGTGGAGTTGGCCGTGTGTATTCAGGAGATGATCCGGCAGAAATACTTTACTCTGGAGCAGTTGAATAGAAAAATCTTGTCCTTTCCTTACCAACACTCCGATAAAGTTGAGAAACCAAAGCCCATCTCAAAGAACTTCTCTACAAGGAGGACCATTGGTGGCAATGGTCATGAGAATATCACATTGCTGAGAGTACTGCCATTCATGAACGGTAATGTAGTCCCTGAGGAAGATTCTGCTTGGACAGTGTTAATGGATTTGAAAGAGGTTGTTGAGCTTATGCTGTGCCCAAGATTTGATGAAGAGTCCATACAGTATTTGCAATCAAAGATAGATGACCACAGAAAAGTGCTGCAGGACATGTTTCCTGAGTTAAGACTGCTTCCAAAACATCATTATATAGAGCACTACCCAGCTCTTATACGTGCTTTTGGGCCACTTGTTCACTTATGGACAATGAGGTTCGAGGGTAAGCATCGCTTTTTCAAGAGGGTAATACATGACACACAAAACTTTAAGAATGTGTTAAAAACATTAGCAACACGGCACCAACACATGGTGGCCTACTGCCTCAGTGCACCTTCATTTTTTCAGCCGCATCAGCAGACGACACACGTTACTTCTGTCATGGTTTCAGATCTTCCTGAAGTTGCACAAGAATACATAAAGGATAAAACTGACAGCAGAATTATTTACAGCACATCAAAGATCATTGTTGATGTCACAACTTACAGCCCTGGAATGTTTGTGTCTGTGGGGGAGGATGGGGGACTGCCACAGTTTAGCGAGATCAAAAAAATCCTCCTTGTTAACAATGATGCTGCATTTCTTTGCAAAGAACACAGGTCAAACTACACTGAACATATGAGGTCATATGAACTCTACCCAAGTTGTATGGCTATCCACTGCATGTCAGAGTTTAATGACCGCTTACCCCTTTCTGCATACTACGTGGAAGGGAAACTTCTTTTGACACCAAAACGTTTTATACTTCTACACTGAAAGTGAATTTGCATTATGTGATTTACATATATTTTAAGATTTGTTCCACCCCAAAGTTTCAAAATGCAGATGCTATGTGTGTGTGCGTGGGGGGGGGGGGGTTTGTAAAATAAATATTTAATTCACTAACTAAATATTTAATTTACTAATTAAATATTTATTTTGGAAATAAATATTTAAAATTTAAATTAAATATTTAATTTGTAAATTAAATATTTTCCAAAGAAATATTTAGATCCCAGCTAAATATTTATTTTCCATGATGTTATTTAGCTCCACACTATAGTTTATATTTTTGGGTCAGACTTAAATATTTATTTCCCAAATACTGATTTTGCAAACTAAATGTTTAGCTCCAAAATAAATATTTAGCTGGGATCTAAATATTTATTTCGGAAAATAAATATTTAATTAGTAAATTAAATATTTAGTTAGTGAATTAAATATGTATTTTACAAACTAAATATTTAGATCAGACCTAAATATTTAGTTAGAAAAATAAATATTTAACTGCAAATTAAATATTTATCTTGCTAACTAAATATTTATTTGGAAACTTTAACATTTATAAATGTATGAATAACATGATGAAAATATGACTTCGAAAAAGTGAACTCCCAATTTTTTTCTCTTATGATATGCTAAATAACCAAAAATATTGCTGTTAGATTATGACTGTTTGACTTTAAAAATGGCACCCCATAGTTTTCATGACATTTAGCGTGTATTTGTCATGATGTGAGGGTGGGGATGGCGGACCATGTGTGGTGGGGGTTCAGGAGGCAGAAGAGCAGGCACGGATGAAATAAAATGGATTTAATAGCAACGGGCGCGACAGGACAAAACGAGACATGCACATACAGGTGCTGGCCAGTAAATTAGAATATCATCAAAAGGTTGAAAATATTTCAGTAATTCCATTCAAAACGTGAAACTTGTACATTATATTCATGCAATGCACACAGACCAATGTATTTCCAATGTTCATTACATTTAAATTAGATATTCATAAGTGACAACTAATGAAAACTCCAAATTTGGTATCTCAAAAAATTAGAATATTCTGAAAAGGCTGAATATAGAAGACACCTGCTGCCACTCTAATCAGCTGATTTACTCAAAACACCTGCAAAGGCCTTTAAAAGGTCCCTCAGTCTTGTTTTGAAGGCACCACAATCATGGGGAAGACTTCTGACTTAACAGCTGTCCAAAAGACAATCATTGACACCTTGCACAAGGAGGGCAAGACACAAAAGGTGATTGCTAAAGAAGCTGGCTGTTCGCAGAGCTCTGTGTCCAAGCACATTAACAGACAGGCGAAGGGACGGAAAAAATGTGGTAGAAAAAAGTGTACAAGCTCTAGGGATAACCGCACCCTGCAGAGAATTGTGACGACAAACCCATTCAAAAATGTGGGGGAAATCCACAAAGAGTGGACTGCAGCTGGAGTCAGCGCTTCAAGAACCACCACGAGGAGACTCATGAAAGACATGGGATTCAGGTGTCGCATTCCGTGTGTCAAGCCACTCTTGAACATGAAACAGCGCAAGAAGCGTCTCGCCTGGGCCAAGGACAAAAAGGACTGGACTGATGCTGAGTGGTCCAAAGTTATGTTTTCTGATGAAAGCAAGTTCTGCATTTCCTTTGGAAATCAAGGACCCAGAGTCTGGAGGAAGAGCGGAGAAGCACAGAATCCACGTTGCATGAGGTCCAGTGTAAAGTTTCCACCGTCAGTGATGGTGTGGGGTGCCATGTCATCTGCCGGTGTTGGCCCACTCTGTTTCCTGAGGTCCAGGGTCAATGCAGCCGTCTACCAGGAAGTTTTAGAGCACTTCATGCTTCCTGCTGCTGACCAACTTTATG